GTCCGCTCCCTCCCGATGACCAGCGTCCCGTCCCACTGGTTCCAGCCCTCCCTGTTACCAAGCGTCCCGCTCCCTGGTGAGCTGGACGCTGCCCGCTGAGGCGGCGGCCGGTGTTACATGAGCCGGTGTCCGTCGGCAGGCGAGGGTCGGCTGGGCACCAGCGAGAAGTCCTTCAACATGATCCTGGCCACGCAGAGCTACGAACAGCTGCGGCTCACCTTCCAGGCCTACGAGAAGATCTCTAAAAAGTAGGTTGATGCTCGGATCTACGACATTGATGGCGTTTAGATGAGACGGAATTGTTCGTAAGGCAGTGTTTTTTGATGAGCCGAGGGACCCAACGTCATCATCGTGGTTGGTGGACGTCTTCGCGTGAGGCGTGCCGCTTCGCTAGGCGGTCTGTACAATCCACCTTCGCATGGTCAGCTGCCTTCACAAGATGGCTCCACCCGTCTCATTCACGTGTCGTGCTGTCCCCGACAGGACCTTTGAGCAGGCGGTGCGGAGCGAGACGCACGGCGACTACCAGGACGCCCTGCTCGCCATAGGTGGGTGACCCCGCCGCCCCGGTGTGACCCCCTGTGTGGCCGGCCGGCAGAGCGTTTCATGTGGCCGTGCGGAGCGAGACCCGCGGCGATTACGGTCGGGCGCTGAGCATGCTCGGTGAGTTGTGACTGTGTGGTTGGCGGGGTTCGGTAGCCCGCAGGGCGATGGAGGCGGAGCAGACGCGGTCCCTCTAGTCCTAGTCGGTTCTTGGCCTATTTTTTCTGTTTTTCATTCTTTGCTTATTTTGCGTTCGTCCCTGTCTTCTTCTTCGCCTTTCCTCCCCTCCTCACTGCTTCCCACCCGCCGTCCGCCTGGGCCGTTCATCCCCTTATCCCCGCCTCCCTACCTCCCGCCTCTGCGTCGCGCGCCGCTCTGCCTCTATACCCCTCTCCCCCACATTTCCGCCTCTCCGACTCTCCGCCCTCCCGGCTCCTCCTCTCTCGTCCCCGGCTTCCCGCCTCCCAGTCGCTCTGCCGTCTCTCTCCTCTTCCACGGCTCCCCTCCTCCGCACCTCCCCACCTCCCTGGCTACCCCTGTCCCTGCCTTCTCGCCTCCCCGCCTCCCCGCCCGAGTTCGTGCCTCGTAGTTTCGTAGTGTGCGGTTCCATGCCCGACTAATCAGTCCGCTTTGAAGTCAAACCACCAGCTCTGCCTCTGGCTGTGTTGTCTAGAACCAGCCGCGGGCTAGAGCCAACTTCGGGCTTATACCTTGAAGGGTGACGGAGTGGCGCTTGTGAGCAACGGGCAACAGGCAACCTCAAATGAGCGCGAGGCTTTGGGATTTCTAGGCCTTTTGAGAGTCTGCTGGCTGGGCCGATGTGCCTGGTGCCTGGTTAGATGTGCCTGGTGGCTGGTGAGATGTGCCTGGTGGCTGGTGAGATGTGCCTGGTGGCTGGTTGGATGTGCCTGGTGGCTGGCTACATGTGCCTGGTGGCCGGGTAGATTTACCTGGTGGCTGGGTCATTGCGCCTGGTGGTCGAACTTTAGCTTGAAAGTGGTTGTGATCCGCGCATGCCGTCAGGGAAGCATTCCTTTACTACCAGAAAAATAATCTCGCTGCTTTTCGCGGTGTTTTCTAGGGCTTTCTTGGCCTTACTCGAGCGTGAATGGACGGCTGTACTCTATGAAATGTCTGCCATGAATAGGTGGCGCCGGCGTTGGGAACCACTGGTTAGATAAGTGCTTAGTCGCGATGGTCCATTTAACGTGGTGTCAACATATTCCGAAACTTCACGACCGCCGTATGGGCCTGGCCGATCGCGTAACTAAGAAATGCTAATGAAAATAGAAATAGTGCAGAGGTGTTTGAGGGTTTACAAAAGTCTGTTCCCATTTATGCCATGAATTCCGCTGTTCCCAAGTAGTAGGCCGATTCTCCGCGCCCTCCCGTGGTATGTCGTAGTCTTTTACACGAACGTTGCGAGCGAGGTCTCGAAGCGGTTCGTGTGGTTTGAGTTGGGTACGCATTTTGGAAAACATCAGCTTTACATTTAGTGAGGGAAAGTGGGCACATCGGACTGGTTTGTCCCTGTAAACACGTGCATTGTGATTTTAGACAAAAGTGGCCCAGAGGATATGCCTGCAAGACATTTGCAAGATATGCAAGACAAGTACATTTGTGGGGAACGTTATGCATGTAGACCAGACAGTATTAATAGCCCATTTTCCCCGTAGATAAACAGGAGAATAGAGAAATAGGTGTGATCTTTCGGCTACATGCCTCTATCGAAACGTATATCAGCACACAGACTGCTAAACATGTGTACATTTCGATAAAAGCGTGTAGCCGAAATACCACACCTATCTCTCAATTTTCCTGTTCATTCTACGAGGGATAAACTAGTAACACGGTCATCCTTTGTGGTTCCCTCACGTGCCGTTGACATGTCTGACGTTCAAATGGCGGCATACCCTCAAAAACGCCCAGGTTATGCATTCCAAGCATGTAGTTTTCGACCTTTACCACGCGAATGCTCCTTGCCATCTACCATCGACCGCAACACGATCAGTTCACACTCAGCTCACGAGATGTCGCCGCGATGGTCTTCCGCCGAGCAGTGGCGGTGGCGCAGAACCGGCCGGCGTTCTTCGCGGGGCGTCTCAACCGCTCCATGAAGGGACCCGGCACCAACGACAAGGACCTGATCCGGCTGCTGGTGTCTCGTGCGGAGATCGACCCTGGGCAACATTAAGGACGAGTACCTCAAAATGTTCGGCAAGCCGCTGGAGAAGGACATCCATGTGAGTGGCAGCGCTAGTCGATTACTGACGGGTCTCCTCTGGGGCCTTCCCTTGGCTAGTTCGCGGGTGGATTATAGCCGGCATAAGCTCTATATTCGTGTTGACTTTGAGGATATCTGCATCTGTGTTAGATGCGGAGCCGGAAACGAGCAGGACCGGAAGCTGGGCGGGTTTCTGCTTGCACAGTGACGAAATTTGAACTTAACCTGCCGGCCCAGCTCAATCGGGCAATATTCAAAATAAAGGTCGTGGCTTCAACGGTAGTGCGTGCCGCATGCGCTTATAGGCGTTTCCGTAAAAGCTGTGAACGATATTGCGACGTAAACAAATTACAGGCATTTTACTTTCGATTGGCCAAAGTCGCCTCAAATTTTTCGAGTGCAAAAAGCTGCACAACACGGCGGAAACCTGGCCCAGGTCTGAAAGATCCTGGGCGTCGCAACGGCGCAAACTCAACACGTTTTGACGGGGAGGGAAAGGGCACTCACACTGGCGAATGCCGGGGTCGGTCTGTGGAGGCCGGACCGTGACCTCCGTCTGTGACAACCTGGCCATGACTCCGGTCTGTGACCGGACCGTGACTCCGTCTGTGTCCGGACCGTGACCACCGCCTGTGACCGGACCGCGACTCCGCCTGTGACCCGGACTGTGATTGTCTGTGATAAGACTGCGACTCCGCCTGTGACCTAGCCATGACTCCGTCTGTGACCGGACCGTGACTCCATATGGTGACCGGACCGTGACTCATCTGCGACCGTGCCGTGACTCCATCTGCGACCGTGCCGTGACTCCGCCTGTATCTGGCCATGGCTCCGTCTGTGACCGGACCGTGACTCCGTCTGTGACCGGACTGTGACTTCCGTCTGTGACAAGACTGCGACTCCGCCTGTGACCCTGGCCATGACTCCGTCTGTGACCAGTGCTATGACTCATCTGCGACCGTGCCAGCGACTTCCGGCCTGTGACCGTGCCGACAGAGCGACACGTCCGGGCCACTAACCGCAAGCTGCTGCTCCGTCTGGTGGGCGCCAACAGACGCGTAAAGAGTGACCGCGTCCAGCCCGTCCGCCCCCGACGCCCGCAGCAGGAGCCCGGCCGCAGGAGGAGCCCCGGCCGCGCGGCACCGGGCGCCGGGGCGGTCCCCGGACTGCTCGGCCATGGGACGGCCGTGTACGGCTCGTGGCGGGGTGACAGACAGGGATCGCCGAGCAGGAAGGAGGGGACTATGGAGACAGGGTCCAGAGCGGCAGGTGGAGTAATGGAGCCTCGGTCGGATGAGGGGTGGTTGGGTGCTTGCCCTTTAACAGGAAAACTTTTAGATATTTTTATTTTGAGCTATATTTCGAGTGTTGAGCTTTGCGAGAAGCATGGTTTTGTTATAAGTGCCGCAGCTGCCGGAAATGCGTAGCGTGAGTGGCGTTGAATAATGTGCAGAACAACCACCTGCATAAGCATGTGGCGCCTATTTTTGCGTACCGGATATTTCCTCGAATGCTGCATTAGCATTCATGTTTTGGGTGATCTGTCGCACCGTTTTGTGGTGTCTATCCCCGACGGAAACATTGTATCTACCCTCGTGGATTAGGATGTTACATTATCCTAAAAAAATATCTATTTCACTGATCATGATAACACTCAGCACCTTTTGTCGCGTGACGTCATATTTCGCGCACCTCCGTATTGGTGCTCCGGTTTTGTGCACGATAAGCGAGGTCTGGGAATGTCCATGTTGCGCCCTTCCTCACGAACTGGAAGCGGAAGGTTTAATGATCTAAATGCCGGTGCGATGTGTTTAGGGGCTTAGACCGTTCCACGCGTCGACTGTGGTGCTGGCAGATGGGCCTGTTATGTGTGTGCGGCAAAACGAAGCTTCTGGGCGAACATAATAGTCTGTAGCTTGTTTTTTTATCTTATGGGGCGATGCTTTCCGTTGCCATGGTAAAAATGCTGCAATGGCATGCTATTTGTCGACCTGGTGCTGAATAATACGTTAAATTTCGTCTAGTTCGAACAGTGTTACAGGATTAAGTCAATATGTGCGAAACGTAAAGAGCGAGTGTCAAAATGACCAGCATAAGGTGACCTCTAGGACCAACGACCACCATTCACGCGATTCCAATATACTGAGTCACGACTTTACGCGAATCCTCATTGGCTGTCATTAGAGAACAGAGCGTGTTAAACTAGCCCATACTTGCGCAGTGTCTAGTACGGAGTTTTGGAACACGTTGCCATGGTCGTTCATGCTTCGGTAAATAGGGTATGATATGCGTCGCAAGAGTGCCCTGTAGGTGTGCTGATATCCTACAATACACTACCTGTACCGAAAGCATGAGCCTTTGAACTGAGAGGCACAAGTGGTCTAACGTCGGTGTTTGGGGGGGGGGGGGGGGGTGGGGGGAGCTCTGTATGTTTTTGCTGCTTGGTTGAACCAGCACACAATTGTTGTCTGGGGACACAGCCACGCACATACATGCACTATTTCTCCGTTCGCGGCGTCACGTAGGGCCACCCACGTGGCACGGGCCAGTCGGAGACGCGCGACACCACTGCAGGAGAGCCACAGACCAGAACAAACACGGCTCAAGTGTCCCCTTGGCCTGAGGGTCGGGGTGCCGGGGCGACCCGTGCCGTGCCCCAAGGGCATAAACACAGACATGTAGGTCGACCTGCCCTCGAGTCAGGTCAGGTCAGGTCAAGCCACGCCTCTGTGGTCGGCTGCGGCGGAGAGGTGGCGTTTCGGCGGCGGGAGTCAAACGGCGGGGTGCTCTACGTTCTCGCTTCATGTGCACATGTTTCGAACCAGGCCAGTCGCCATTGATCACCGTTACGTTACGAATGTTTCCGCTGACTCGCATTGTAATGCGTGAGACTCAGCCATGACGGCCGGACGGTGCATCTCCATGTCTGTCTTCATGTCTCCATGTCATGTCTCTCCATGTCTCCATGCCATGTCTTTTGAGGTTCGGGGAGGTGCACAGAGTGATACTCAAAGGAAGCTGATCCAGAATAGTTAGTGCGTACCCTACGACTGGAGCGTACACCCAAACAACTGTTCAAACAACAAAGGCATGTTACATGTTTTGTTAATGCCGATGGAAAGTTGATTCTATTATGGCGCGGTGAAGCCCGTTATTACCGTGACAAGTCTCGTAAAGAGTCACGAACAACTACCACCCACTGTCACGCAAGTCACGCGAATCACATAATCAGCAGCAGGAGAGCCTCTGAGCGGGAGGAGATGCCGGAGGGTGGCAAAGGCTGTTTTAATCCCATCTTCCCATGCATGGTTATGAGGCCAGTGCTATTTATTTTAGAAAATAGGATGCTGTTTCCAGCGCCACCTTCCTCAGCTTCCGCCGCTTTTTAGCGTGCCGATGCGGCCACTAAAACCATGGATACTTACCTCCCGGTAGACTTGTCCTCTCGTCACAGGCACGTGAGTGCATCGAAGTACAAGACTGGCAAACGACATGCGTTGGTCATTGCCTGTAACGCTTTCCTTTATCGTCACGTGTGGCGAGATGGCGCAAATCAGCATCCTCGCACCTGCATGCCTGAATCGTGGAAACATCTGCTAGGTTTCGGTCGCATAGTGATGGTAATATCAGCCTGCTTTCTCATGTGGCAGCCATTGCAGTGAGTGGCGCCGCCACAAATTTTGTGGGCCCATTCTTCCGTTGTGAGCAATTACGCTTTTGACATGCTTAGGTCTTTGCAGCTGCTAATTGCGCGGCCACGTAGTTTGCAGTAACAAAAAGTTTAGTTCTGTAAATGCTGGTCGTCTGCTCTGGCGATGAATTTCTGCGACGTTGGATATCATGTCTGCTTCAGCTCCCCTTTCGTTTAGCACGGGAAACGTGCAATTTTCAAACCGCAAACAAGGTGCAGAACGTGGGTCGGAAACAGATCCATGTCTTCATTTCTGTCCATTCTTCTCATCCATTCTTCCATTCTTTCCATTCTTTGGCGACAAGTGCATGGCGATGGCTCTGATATCTGCTATCACCTCACCCGTCCCCCGCTACAAACGACATCCTACTGGTTGCCAGAGTGATATATGGAGCGGCTGGCTGGCTCAGATGCATTATAGATTAGCCCGTCCTGCTCCTCACCCTGCTTTTTAGCCTGGTTCAAGTAGGATGAGTGGATCAGACTTGATTCACGAATAAGGTAAGGACAAGTTTCTTTAATTAGGTGGCGAAGTAGAGCTCACGTACAAAGAACTCGTAGAAAGTAGAACATCAGCTATCAGGAACGGTTTTAGTTCTCATCCCGTCTTCGCTTTGGTTTGATAAGATTCTTGGGCATCCACTAGGCATTGTATTGTTTTGTGCGCTGTTCATAGCACGACCCAGGTCTTCTTGTATCTCATCTAATGCTTGCCACACTGGTCTTTCAGTGGCTTAATACGTTCGTTTTTCGCTTCAGATGTCGACCGTCAGACATGACGCGCTATCCAGCCTGTTAATGGACACGCAGACATGTTCTTTCACCATGAGCCGCTCTCATTCCTGCCTTATCTACGATCTAGCCCTGCTGGTTGACACTGTGTCAGAGCGCTGTTAAAACAACGTGATGAAACGCTGCGAACATCTGTAGTGGAAAGACTGTTGGAGCGAATGGATTAGCCACGAACTTTTGTATTTCAACGCATGCAGACCTGGCACTTCCTCGGCATCGGTAGCACCCACGCGTCTTTCCTGGTGTAAGCCAGCCGCCCGCTGCCCTGCAGCCTTCCCCGCGGTATTTTCAACGCATCCCAAAACAGTTTTGGCCTTAGCATGGGCTCGAAGGGAGTCGAGAACACCCTAAGTGTGTTGCAAAATGTGTCATTAGGCAAAAGGGAGCATAATGGAGGACTGAAGCAAAATGGTAATCTCTACTAATTCTGCCCGCCCATTAGCGTGTCGTAGCACTACGCGCGGTCAGTTGGACAATGGTGTCAATC